AGTCTTAGGCTATGTCTACACTCACAGCTTCTTGTGCGAGTAATATGCAAATGAGGCTAAATGTGGAATATTGCCGAGTCTCATTGCATACCTAATGAGCCACCGTTTTTTCAGAAGAGGCTCTTGCGCAAGAAAAACCCTCTTGCGCAATACTTTTCAGGAAGAAGGGCAATAGGTGTAACGACATTGTGCAAGAGGGTTTTTCTTGCGCAAGAAGGGGCAGTGTAGATGCTCCTTCTTGCACAAGAGCTTGTTCTGAAAAAAAGGTGGCTCGTTAGGTATGCAAATGAGGCTCGGCGATATTCCACGCGTAGCCTCATTTGCATATTTGCAAATGTTGAACTGCTATCTTTTCTAGTAGAATCACAGAATACTAGGACTTGAAGGAACCTTGAAAGGTCATCTTGTCCAGTCCCCTGCACTGATGGCAGGACCCAGCACCATCTAGATCAGTGGTCCCCAACGCAGTGCTCACGTGTGCCATGGTGCCTGCCGGGGCATTTGTGTGCCCGCCTAGTGGCCAGGGCCAGCCCGAGCATTCTTGCGTCACGGGCGCCTGGTGCATGCGTGGGCCCTGCCCCCGGGCACCCAGCAGCCTTAAAAGGTTGGGGATCACTGATGTAGATCATCCCTAACAAGTCTATCCTGCTTTTAAAAAATCTCCCATGATGGAGGCAATTTATTCTAATGCTTAACTTCCCTAACAAGAAGTCTTTCTTAATGTTGCTATTTAAGCCTGTTGCTATCTTAAAAAGTTTTTACAAGTAGGAGAGAGGGAAAAAAACCTTAATTTCTGATGTACTTTTAAGCTGTTGCCATGTCCTTGTCAATCTTTTTTTTTTTTTTTTTTAAACAAAACAAACCCAGTTCTTTCAGTCTTCCCTCATAGGTCATGTTTCCTAGACCTTTAATCATTTTGTATGTTCTCCAGTTTGTTCACATTTCTTCTGAACTGTGGTGCCGAACATTAGACACTCTCCAGTTGAAGCCTACTCAGTGCAGAATAGAAGAATTACTTATCTTGCTTACAACACTCCTGCTAATGCACCCTAGAATGGTGTTTGCTTTTTTCACAAAAGTGTTACACTGTTGATCCATATTTAGCTTGTGGTCCACTATGACCCCTGCATCCCTTTCTGACATACTCTTTCCTAGACAGTCATTTCCTATTTGTATCGGTAAAACTGATTGTTCCTTCCTAAGGAGAGTACTTTGCCTTTGTCCTTTTTGAATTTTATCTTATTTATTTCAGACCATGTCTCCAGTTTGTCCAGATAATTTTGAATTAGGGCTGTCAATTGATGTGTGTTAATGCCTGTGATTAACGCGTTAATTTTTTTAATGCATTAATCACAGGCGTTAATGCTGTGCTGCCCCTTTGAAGTGTCATTCTGGCACTTCAAAGGGGCAGCACATTAGGAGCCTGGGGTCAGCTGGAGTCCCCAGCTGACCCCGGGCTCCCTGCAGCACTGCCCCTTTGAAGTGCCACCCTAGTGCCTCAAAGGGGCAGCACAATGTAGAGTTGGGGATCAGCTAGGCACTCCAGCTGATTCCTGGCTCCCGTGGTGCTGCCCGTTGGAAATACTGGGGCAGTGTTTCCAAGGGGCACTGGGGTCAGCTGAAGCCTCCAGCTGATCCTGGCCTTCCGCAGCACTGCCCCTTTGAAATGCTGCTGCAGCATTTCAAAGGGGGCAGTGTGCACGATTAATCACAATCAATTTTTTAAATTGCTTGACAGCCCTCTTTTGAATTATGACCCATCCTCCAAAGCATTTGCTTGGTATAGTCTGCAAACTTTATAAGCATATTCTCTATGCGATTATCTAAATCATTGATGAAGATATTGAACAGAACTGGTCCTAACACTGACCTCTGCAGAACCACATGTGTTATGCCTCTCCAACATGACTGTCAACCATTGATAAACTTGTCTCTGGGAATGGTTATTCAGCCAGTTATATTGTCTCTGGGAATGGTTATTCAGCCTCATGTAGGTTGTATTTCCATTTTTTGTTTATAAAGAGGTCAGTTGAGACTGTATCGTATGCGTTAGGAAGCTGCCAACTGGCTGCTCCAGTGTATTTAGTTAACGGCTCCGCAGCCACATAGCCTTGAAGCTCCCATTGGCTCTGGTTTGCTGTTTGCAGCCAAGGGGAGCCACAGGAAGTGGCAAGGGCCATCCTGCTGCTTCCTGCGGCTCTTTGGCTGCAAATGGCAAACCAGAGCCATTGGGAGTTGTGTTGTTCCATGGCTACAGAGCTGATAAATAGACACACTGAAGCGCCCAGTTAGCAGCTTTCTCAAAGTGGTTTTGTGGACCACATTGAGAAATGCTGACCTAAAGCTTAGGTATTCCACATCTACTGCTTCCCCTCATCCATAAGGCTTGTTCTTTATAAATCCAAGCTGTTACATATTTTCCAGATGTTTGGAAATGGAGCATTTCTCTGCGCCCGCCAAGTGCTCAGGGCTGGTCTGGCCCTGGGCACATGGCGCATGCGCTGCCGGAGCTGGCCCCGGGCACGTGGCGCACGGTGAGCGCCGGCCCCGGGGGCGCCGCGGATTGACCACCTGCACTCTGGGCACGTGGCGCATGGGGAGAGCGCAGGCCCCG